GGGGTTTCACCATGTTGACCAGAATGGTCTTGATCTCTTGACCTCGTGATCCACCCGCCTCGGCCTCCCAAAGTGCTGGGATTACAGGCTTGAGCCACCGCGCCCGGCCAACACTTTCTACTTTCAAGTCATCGTAAGAAGAAACAAACAAAAGTGTTGAGTCAGAAGTCCTAAGCATCTTCCAAATAAGCCAGGCTGAAGGGACGTGTCCTTCAAGCAAGCTGCCTACGGCTTTGGGAAATCTCCTTCCATCTACTGTGGCTTTGTGTCTCACAGCTCTTTTTTTAAAAAATTGTATTACAATTCAAGATGATGTGTCTCCTAGCTCTTTTTTTTTTTTTTTGAGATGGAGTCTCGCTCTGTCGCCCAGGCTACAGTGCAGTGGCTCAATCTCGGCTCACTGCAACCGCCACCTCCAGAGTTCAAGCAATTCTCCTGCCTCAGCCTTTGGAGTAGCTGGGATTATAGGCAGCACCGCCACGTCCAGCTAATTTTTGTGTTTTTAGTAGAGACGAGGTTTCTCCATGTTGGTCAGGCTGGTCTCAAACTCGAGACCTCAGGTGAGCCGCCTGCTTCGGCCTCCCAAAGTGCTAGAATTACAGGCATGAGCCACCACGCCCAGCCTGTTATTGTTATTATTTTGAGACGGAGTCTCTGTCTCCCAGGCTGGAGTGCAGTGGCAGGATTTCAGCTCACTGCAACCTCTGACCCCTGGGTTCAAGTGATTCTCCTGCCTCAGCCTCCCGAGCAGCTGGAATTATAGGTGCCCACCACCATGCCCAGCTAATCTTTGTGTTTTTAGTGGAGACAAGGTTTCATCATGTTGGCAGGGCTGGTCTTGAACTCCTGACCTCAAGTGATCTGCCCGCCTCGGCCTTTTAAAGCGCTGGGATTACAGGCGTGAGACACCGCGCCCAACCTGCTGTGATTATTTTAATCACCTCATTTGTAGGTCTGGGTATGTGCCCCTCGCTGCATTACCTCAAATCCTTTCTCAATGGCTCAGACCCGTCCCGACTCCCATCCAAACTCCTCCGCTTACCTCTCCCTCTGTGCGGTTGAGCTGGAGGAGCTCACAAAGCTGGGACCCGCTGCTCCACTCCCTCAGGTGGCCCCGACAGGCGCTCTCGTCTGAACATTGCAGCCTTTTCCTCTGCTTCCCCACGTCCACGTCCAGTGTGAAGTTGAGAGATGCCCCTCTGAGGCCTGGGAATGAAGAGCAGGCCTTCCCGATGAGGCAGGGATGAGCCGACCACAGACAGAAGGCCCCCAGCCTGAGGTTCCTGTGACCTTCCTGAACAGTGTCCCCATGCAGGACTTCCTGGGGCTGGACCCCTGCGTTTCTTTCTTTTTTTTTTTTTTTTTGAGATGGAGTCTCATGCTGCTGCCCAGGCTGGAGTGGAGTGGCATGATCTCGACTCACTGAAACCTCCGCCTCCAGAGTTCAAGCAATTCTCCCGCCTCAGCCTCCCACATGGGTGGGACTACCGGTGTGTGCCACCATGCCCGGCTAATTTTTGTATATTTTAGTAGAAACGGGGTTTCACTATATTGGACAGGCTGGTCTCGAACTCCTGACCTCGTGATCTGCCCACCTCGGCCTCCCAAAGTGCTGGGATTACAAGTGTGAGCCACCTTGCCTGGCCGCATTCTTTTTTCAAAGGTATTTTGCTCACTGTCTTCTGACACCTGGCCAGGGTCTCTCAGTGCTCCAGCCCCAAACCTAGAGCATCACATTCCCAGGACCGAGTCAGCCTTCCTTAGGGAAGGAGGGCTCAGGAACGGGGTTGAGACTGCAGAAGAAAATAAGGAGGAGGAGAATCAACAAAGAGAATGGAGGGGGACAGAGGGAAACCATGGAGTCAAACCCAAGGACCGCGGGGCTGGAAGCACCGTGGAGATCCCGGGGCCAAATCCCTCACGGTACAGAACAGAACCAGCTCGGCTGGGGAGAGACCTTGCCCAGCGCCGCAGAGCCCATCGAGCTCTGTGTCTGGGAAGGGACAGGTCTGTCGTTTCCATCCCCCAGGTGGATAATAGCCTCCCGCTTTGATAAAGCCACTCCACCACAGGAGCCTTCTCTGTGACCTGCGGGAGACAGAGAGCCATCTCAGAGACTGCTCCGGAGAGAGTAAATCTCCCGGACTGTGGCTGAGGAATAGTTCCCGCGGGGAGCGCTGGGGTGGGCAGTGAATTCCTGGGCTGTGAAAGCCGTGCCCACCACCTCCTTTCTGGAAACAGTCTCCTGATGAGTTTCAGGTAAGGAAAGAGAAACCCAGCCTCGACAGATTATCCAATCCCACCTGGGCCAGAGGCACAGAGTGCATAGGGACAGAAGGGACGAGGAGAGGACACAGCCAGAGAGAAGGCAAAGGGCGCGTCCTCGGGGCTCCCGAGCACAGGCACACACGCGGGCATGGAGACATGGCTGCCTTTTTCTGAGTTTTTTTCAGAAACTCAACCCTTCAACCCTGAGGAAGGGTTCCAGCATCCCTCCTCCCAAGAGTGTCAGCACTAAGCCCCTCAGAGTGTGGATGTCACATCAGAACACCCTTTTTGAGGCAGTTTGCATTTCACAGAGCCTGGGGACAAAGGAGCTACGTTCTAATGGAGGGATTTCAAGCACCAGGACCTCAGACAAACACCCCCACCCCAGCCCATCCCCGCCCTGTCCTCTTTCCCTGCCCCCTACAGAAGCCAAAAAGGAATGACCATCACGCCGGGATGCGGGGGACAGCTGGGCCACCTCTTACCTGACTCAGAGCTGATTGCAAAACACAAACTGACATTCACGTCGCTTTTGAAGCCAACCGGCAGTGCACTGGGGGTGAAGGCCATGGATACATTGAGGCGAACCACAGGCCGGGAGCTGACGGAGACAGCAAAGAGGACGGGAGGAGTGACTACAGGCTCGTGGGGCAGGCCTGGCTGATTGGTTCATGCAGTCAGTGAGTCCATCAAACCTCCCCACACGCAGGTGCTGCCCTGAGTTTCTGCTTTCGTGGGAAAGCACAACAAGCAAATAAACAAGGAAATACTATGTATTGGCAATGCGCTGATACAAAATAAAATACCCTTGTCCGGGTGCAGTGGCTGGCGCCTATAATCCCAGCACTTTGGGAGGCCGAGGTGGGCGGATCACTTGAGGTCAGGAGTTCGAGGCCATCCTGGCCAACATGGTGAAACCCCATCTCTACTAAAAATACAAAAATTAGCCAGGCGTTGTGGCAGGCACCTGTAATCCCAGCTACTCTGGAGGCTGAAGCAGGAGAATTGCTTGAACCCGGGAGGTGGAGGTTGCAGTGAGCCGAGATGGAGAATTGCTTGAACCTGGGAGGTGGAGGTTGCAGTGAGCCGAGATGGCGCCACTGCTCTCCAGCCTGGGTGACATGACAAGAGTGAGACTCCATCTCAACAACCAAAGTTCTGTAATAAGGACTGGGGGCTACTGAGCCTGGGTGGTCAGAGACGGCCTGACTGATGAGAAGCATTTCGGTTGAGATTTCTTAACAAGCAAGAGCCAGCTATGTGAGGACACGGGGCAGAGCACTCCAGGTGAAAAGCACAGCCAGCACCAAGGGCCGGTGGCAGGGACGCTTGCAGTTTGGGGAGCGCAAGGGTCTGCGTGCCTGGAGCCTAATTAGTGACACAGAGGAGAGGAAGAGGAGGTAGGAATGGAAGGCCGGGGAGGGCCAGGCCACGAAGAACCCTGCAAAGCCACAGTAAGGAACTGGGATTTTACTCTAAGTAGGAGCGTGGAGGGGTTTCGGGTGCTGCTGTATGGAGGGTGGAGGCAGGGAAGGCTGCATGTCAGTGTCCGGGGGTGAGGACAACACCTGTGCTGGGGGGTAGCTGCAGGCAGAGCCAGCTAAGACTTGTTGATATGGCAGGGGAAGGAAAAAGAGGCATCAAGGACCAGGTTTTAATCCTGTGTTTCTGGGTGGACGATGGTGTCACTTGCCAAGACAGAAAGCCCGAGGGCGGGACAGATTTGGGGGAATGAAGGGTGGGTGGAGATAAGAGCTTGGTTTCTTTTGTTTTGTTTTGAGACAGAGTCTCGATCTGTCGCCCAGGCTGGAGTGCAATGGTGCGATCTCAGGTCACTGCAACCTCTGCCTCCCTGTTCAAGCGATTCTCCTGCCTCAGCCTCCTGAGTAGCTGGGATTACAGGCACCCGCAACCACGCCTGGCTAATTTTTGTATTTTTAGTAGAGACAGGGTTTCTCCGTGTTGGCCAGGCTGGTCCCAAACTCCTGACCTCGTGATCTGCCCACCTCGGCCTCCCAAAGTGCTGGGATGACAGGCATGAGCCACCGCGCCTGGCCAAGAGCTCCGTTTTTAGATGTGTTCCCTCGGAGATGTCCGTGAACAGCAGCCAGGGAGGTGCTGAGTAGACAGCAGCAAGTCTGGAGCTTAGTGGAGAGGAGGGGACAGACAGGCACTCCATGAGCTCACTTCCAGCCACGGGACTTGATGATTCACCCCGTGATGGGGAGCAGAAACTCTGGACTTCTTTTTTGTTAATTAATTAATTAATTAATTTTTGAGATGGAGCCTCGCTCTGTCGCCCAGGCTGGAGAGCGAGATCTTGGCTCATGGCAACCTCCACCTCCCAGGTTCAAGCAATTCTCTGCCTGAGCCTACGGAGTAGCTGGAATTACAGGCGCCCACCACGATGCCTGGCTAATTTTTCTGCATTTTTAGTAGGCACGGAGTTTCACCATCTTGGCCAGGCTGGTCTTGAACTCCTGACCTCATGACCCACCCACCTTGGCCTCCCAAAGTGCTGAGCCACCACACCTGGCCTGAAATTCTTAATAGTCAGAGCCATCGCTGAGTGCTATGCTAAATACTTTACATACATCCACTTGTATAATCCTCATAACTCTGGGAGGTAGGTGCTCTTATAATTCCCACGTAAGGTCTTAGAATGAAATAACCTGCCCAGGGCACGCGGAGAGGACGTAGAGCTGAGGTTCACACCCAGACGGGCAGAGCCTGGAGCCTGTGCTCTGTTGTCAGCTGGGCGAGGTGACTTGCCACCGTGCCGGCTCCCTCCCTCAGTGCCTACTCTCTGCATGGAGCTATTTACAGCGGGGCAGATGGGTGAGGCTAGGCCCAGGACCCCAGACCCACCGGAACACAACTGCCCGGCCCAGAGTGCCCACGGTGATGTCAGCAAGGCCATCGCCACTGATGTCAAAGCCACCAGCCACGGACATGCCAAAGTACTGGAGTCCTGGGGCCACCGCTGAGGCTCTGATCCGCTGTGGAGGCAGAAACACAAGGCGCGGGGTGAGGGAAGGGAGGAGCACGGGGCAGGGAGTCCTTTCACGTTCTGTCCGGGTCAGCGTTGCAGGCCCATCCAGCCCCAGGGAGCCCCCAGTCTAGAGCCAGGAAAGGGGGTTCAAGCTTTCCCAGAGGAAGTGGCATTTGAATGGAGCCTTGAAGGGCAGGTGGGACTTGAGAGTGAGGGAAAGAGTGAGGCATGGGGAAAGAGTGGGGCCCTCTAAGAAACAGCCAGGGATGGGGTGGGCTGCAGGGGGCTGGGGTACCAGGAGGCTTGATGTGTGGCTTGGGGTGGGGGTGTCAAGAAAGGCTCTGTTTTTTTGAAGTGACGTAATCAGGATAACACTTTAGAAATGGCACTGAAGGCTGGGCTTGGTGGCTCACTCCTGTAATCCCAGCACTTTGGGAGGCCGAGGCTGGTGAATCCTGAGTGAAGAGATCGAGATCAGCCTGGCCAACGTGGTGAAACCCCATCTCTACTAAAAATACAAAAATTAGCTGGGTGTGGTGGCTCGTGCCTGTAGTCCCAGCTACTCGGGAGGCTGAGGCAGGAGAATCACTTGAACCTCGGAGGTGGAGTTTGCAGTGAGCTGAGATCGCGCCACTGCACTCCAGCTTGGTGATAGAGTGAGACTCCGTCTCAAAAAACAAAACTAAATAAAATGGCACTGAAGACGGAGGGGGCAAGATGCAGAGGAGGGGGAAGCTGGGCCGGCTGGGGGGCCAGGAGAGGGATGGCAAGGCCTGAGCTGGGACCACGGTGGTGGGGATGGAGAGAAGGGGCTGGACTTGGGAGACAGCTGGAATCCTGAGGACGTGGGGACTGGCAGGCTGTGCAGGGCGGGGGCGTGCTGGGGATCGTCCAAGGTTTCTGATGTGGGGTGTGGAGGGGGATGCGGTCTCAGCAGCAGCAGGTCTGGGGAAAGCAGGTGCTTTCAGATGGGAGGGAGATGCCTGGGGGCCATCCAGGTGGAGGCACTCAGGAGGGGCTGGAGGTAGGTGAAAGAGACGTGGAGTGAGAGGCTGGCAGTGGAGTCCTAGGGCATGAGAGACGAGGCAGGGAGGTGCTGCGTGGGAGACAGGAGCAAGGGACAGAAAGAGAAGCAGTGACCCCAGCCAGGCTGGAGGGAGGGGAGGGTGTAGGTCGGGGAGGGAGGCAGCTGCGGCCACAACCTCCCGAACTTGAGGGGCTGAGGTGAGGCCGTGGGCTGGACCCTCCCGCCAGCCTGAGTAGCTTCCTTCTTTCACTGGGCACTCCCAGCCCCCGGAGGCCTGCCCGGCACTTGGGACTGAAGCCACCTTGGGGCTTGGGTCATCCTATCGGGGAGAGGTCAGAGCCCCAGAGGAGAGGAAAGAGAGGGCCCGGTGGGTCACCTGTGAGGGGCTGGCGGAGAGGCCGTCCCTGTGTCCATTGTAGATATACACACTGCCGAAGCTGACGCCATCATCTGCTGCAAAACCCTCCAGAGGGGCCCCGATGGCCACATCTGTGAGCTTATCCTGACTGATATCCCCCACAGCCGCCATGGCAAAGCCAAAGCGGGCACTGGAGAACCCGGGGTGCCCACTCAGCATGCGTGACAGGGAGAAGGAACCATCCTATAAAGCAAGGAAACAGCTCAGCCCTCGAGAAGGGGGGCACTGGATGCCCACCCCATTGCGACCCAGGAGGCACGCTCACTGGGCTGGTGGATTCTGATTCTCCAGCAGGGAGCCTGAGGCCCAGAAAAGGCCAGGGACCTTCCCAAGGTCACACAGTGAGCCCGTGGTGAAAGCTGGGGTCCTCCTGCCTTAAAGTTCAGGACCCAGAGCCCGCTCCCCCTACTGCCACAGGCAGGGGTGCCTTGCTGCAAATGGAGGCCTGGGCTTTAGTCTTGGCTCCGCCACATACGTGCCAGGTACTCTTGAGCATGTCTCAGCATCACTGAGGCTCCCTGAGCCCCAGCTTCCTCACCTGTAAGGTGAGAGTGGCAGCTGCCTCCCAAAGTTACTGTGAGAAATGAGTGAGATCTGGACAAAATGCACTTTGGCAGCCCGCGGCTGTAAGAGATGTTATCAGCCGGGCACGGTGACTCACACCTGTAATCCCAGCACTTTGGGAGGCCGAGGCGGGCGGATCACCTGAGGTCAGGAGTTCGAGACCAGCCTGGCTAACACAGTGAACCCCCATCTCTGCTAAAAATACAAAAATTAGCCAGGCATGGTGGCACATTCCTATAATCCCAGCTACTAGGGAGGCTGAGGCAGGAGAATTGCTTGAACCTAGGAAGTGGAGGTTGCAGTGAGCCAAAACTGTACCATTACACTACCGCCTGGGCGACAGAGTGAGACTCTGTCTCGACAAAAAAAAAAAAAAAAAAAAGAGAGAGAGATTGTCATCAACGACTGCCCTTGGGTAAGAAAGAGGGAGCTGAGAGCGGTGCCACTGCCCCACCCATCCATCCTGAGCACCTCCCCGTCACTGCCCACTGGTGCCAAGCAGGGCCAGTGCACTCCCAGCCTCCATCACCTCTGTACTGGGCTGAATGCCACAGCCTTAGCTGTGAAGATGGCGTCTCTCCCACCTGCTCATTGAGACGGTACACATAGACTCTGCCTTCTTCTCCGCGAACGTGATAAAACGGCGCAGCCACCAGCAAGAGGTCTGTGGTTCCATCCATGTTGATATCCACAGGACACAGCTCAGAGCCAAAATAGGACCCCATCTGCACCGGGGAGGAGGTCAGCTCAGCAGGAGCCCCACTCCTCCACCCTGCAGCAAGGCTGCAGCCCTGGTACCAGTCTGGGCCACCCAGTCTGGATCATTACATATCAGTTTGCTCCCTGAGGTACCTGTAGATCGGATGAACACTCCAGGCCCCAGGGTGGAGGACACGCCCAGCAATCAGACACGCGGCCCGGGCCGGAGCCTTGGAGCACCACTCCGGAGCCTGGGCCCTGGCCCACGGTGCACCCTGCGGCCCTCCTCTTTCCCTTGGGGCCTCCCATTCCCCATCTGTCACAGGGCGTGGAGGCCTTCCCCTGCAGGTACCTGCTCTCCCTCCAGCACCGGCAGGAAGCCGGCCTCTCTGCCCTCCTGGAGCTCAAACACGGCCCCGCGATGTTTGTACCGCGGAGCCCCCGCGACGTAGGACAGGCTGCAGGCCTTGTGCAGCACAGCCACAGCGTAACCTGCGGCAAGGATGGTGCAGCCGTTGACGGGTGCTCCGGCTGTTGACCGGTGCTCCCATCCGGCCTCTCTCCCTGGCTCGCCGCACCTTCCCAGTCAGGCCTTCAAAGAGGCCTGGGGAGGGGGCAGACTAGGAGAGACTTTCTCGCTATATCAAAAATCAGCATCAGCGAGCACTCTCACTTTGCCAGTCACACACGTCCATCACACAGATGTGAGGCACACACACTGTCCTGGATGCAGCTTTGCTCCAAATACTCGTTCGCACACACTCCCCACACTCACACACACCCTAGTGGAGTCTTGGTCTATCACCCAGGCTGCAATGCAGTGGCACGATCTCGGCTCACTGCAACCTCCGGCTCCCGGGTTCAAGCGGTTCTCCTGCCTCAGCCTCCTGAGTAGCTGGGATTACAGGCATCCACCACCACAGCTGGCTAATTTTTGTGTTTTTAGTAGAGACAGGGTTTCACCATGTTGACCAGGCTGGGCTCAATCTCCTGGCCTCAGGTGATCTGCCTGCTTTGGCCTCCTGTGATTACAGGCGTGAGCAACCTCGCCAGGTCACACCACTGTTCTTAATGGAGAGGCCTGCTCTTCTTGTACCTGACAGGCCCTGTCCCTACCCAGGAGGCGGTAGTTCCCAACCTTAGGGTCCCTAACCAGGAACCGCCCCTTGGCCCATGTGACCCACCAGGTCCCGCCCCCATTCGGAAACCTCAAGTGCAGCCTGATGCGCAGCCTCCGCGTTCCCATCGGCGATCCCATCTCGGCCCCGCCCTCACCCAGGTAGCCTCCAGGCCCCGCCCTCGCCCAGGTAGCCTCCAGGTCCCGCCCTCGCCCAGGTAGCCTCCAGGTCCCGCCCTCGCCCAGGTAGCC